ACTATCAGACTGATGGGCCTGGATTTAATGGAAGCATGGAGAACCATTTGAATATAACTGGGTTATCATACATCTTATCATGTAATAATATTCTGAACAATGCTGAGCCAACTGCATATACAAAAATCTGTGAAGAAGTACCATACCTTTTACAGCAAGATAATACACTATATTATGTATCATACAAGCCATGTATATGTAGTAGTGGTTTGAGACAAATAGTATCCAGAATCTGGTTTAGTAAGATTTGTACACACGATTAATAGCCTGTATTAGTAACAGTGATTAACACCAGAGGTGATCTAACCCTGTTATAAAGTGGTTATTCTTTCATGAAAAAACAACACTTGCATTTATCTTGAGATATTTTGGTTCAATGGTCCCTTACTTTTAGAAAATTGGTATATATCGCATCCATTTATTGTAAATACTGGTCTTGAAGGATAAACTCTTGAGAGCTATTGAAACTGAAAGAAGTGAATTAGTATGAGTAATCACTTATTGATAACAAATAAATACCTTTTTGTATGCATAAAATAAAGCAGCTATAACCTACAAAAAATTACGTTGTTGAAAAGTAATTTAATGAGAAATATGCTAATTCAAACTGAAATTCTACTATCCCAGTTGTATATTTTTTGTTATAGCGATTAATTTATTGGACATTGAAAATACATGTCTATATTCGTTGCGATGATATCTTCCTCAGTATCACAAAACTAATACGATTTACTACATTATTTGTGATGTAGATGTGATAGACTTGTATTACTGACATACTGAAAATTCATAACATGTAAAGAGGTAAAATCTATGTACAGCTACCTCATCCAGTCTACATATATGATGAATTTAAAAACACCCACATGGAGGTATGACATTCGGATCACCTTGCCTTATTCTTTTGTTACCTAAGGAAAAGGCCGCGTATTTCCGAGTCATGAAACACACTTTTTATCTCATATTAATAAAAATGAATTAAACAATAACTATTTTAATCCCAGCAAAAATAATCGCATAAATGAGAAAGTATTGTAAATACAAAACTATATAATTGGACATTTTAGCTTAAAGTCTGTAATTGAGTCGTGCATATGTATTTTTATCGGGCTTACCATGGATTATCGTCGATAAATAGGCTACTGATCGTACAAAATTTTTAGTATCAGTAGGTATTTAACTATTTAAAAGAAATCGGCAGGAAACATTTTGTTCAATCTGGTAGTCTACATCCTCAGGCCAGTCAGTTTTTACATCTGTCGTGGAATTTTTGAAGTCCAGCAGTAGTAAAATACTATCCTAAATTTTATCTTTTATAATTAAAATTAAGTAGTTTTTAGGAGAGTTACTGATCTGGTAAAGAAGCTATCTTTCTTCTTGTGTACTTGTTGAACTTTGATTGTTTTTGAGTGTTAAGTAAAGTTGGTTTTCAGTGTGTTTTACATCGTGTACAGTCTCTTTCAATCTTCAAAGTCGAAAAATTCAGACTTAATCTATGATACATTTTTCTGTTGGACTTCCAGTTAATCTGCGAAAGCTACCTTCATTCTTGGGGGAAATCAGAGCACCTGAGAATACCACATTCCTGTAATTAAAGGCGAACTTACGATTACTATAAAGTACTATTAATGTCGCTGGTTTTAAATACTAAACACGTCAGAAAAGTTTGTAAGTAAGCGTTTTTGTTTGCATAATGTTCGAAATAAGGTTGTATCTAAAGTGATTTTTTTTTTAAATCCCTCGCCTTCCCCAACTAAAAATCCTGGATTTGCATCAAATTGTCACCTATTTCCTAGAATTTCATTATGTAATTAGTCAAAATATAGGAAGATTGTTAATTTTGAAGGTGGTTTTAGAACAAGTGATTCCAACTCTACATAAATTTAGTTGTTCTGTGCAATGCAGTCTGTGATTTGTTTTTGTTACAAGTAACACTAGTTCCTGACAGGGTGTTTAGCTTTCAGCTCAAACATTTAGACTCATCTCAGTTAAAGATAAGGTTTTTTTTCCACTTTGTTACAAATTTCATTGGAAATAAATTAATTATATTGCGTTTTTATTGTTGTTTATTTTCAATTCGTTTTAAACAGTTTCTCCAATTTCAGAAATTTCTGCCACTTCTCCAATGAATATAATCCTGACGTTAAATATTAAAAATCAGATATTAAACCAACAACATTTTCTCTTAGAGTTACTGATACTTGATAATAGTTTACAGCAGATTTACTAATTCTTCTTCGGCTTTATTCTTTAGCAGAGGTCGCCCTCCTCCAGTCATCTTTGTTCATAACCTTGCCTTTTTTTTCTTTGGCATTCTGCTTTGATTAATAAAATTCTATTTCTTCACATCGAGTCTTGTCTGTTTCGTTTAAAAGGTAAGACATCACCACATTATTCTTCTACCAGATCAATGAACCTCTTCTGATGAGATGCTTCCATTTATTCAAAATCTAGGAATACCACAAAGCCAGAAGTTTGGTTCAGAAGCCTTGTCATGACTAGGTTTGTAGTAAAGTAAGATGTACTAGTAACGCTATCGTAAACCAAGTGGAGGTCTCTAAAATCTATGCAAAAAGTAGGGTTGTAAAAAAAAACAAAGTAAGGAAAATTTTTTAACGGGATTTCCTTAAGAATATTCAGTTTTGATGGTAACTTAAGAAGGATGCATTGTAAAATGCTAAAATATGGTTTCGATACTCGTGTTAGGCAGTGTGCAGATAGCCCATTATGTAGCTTCGCGCTTAACAACAACTTACTAAGTTGTAGTAATAACTTGCCCGATTCCTCTCTTTTACAATGCTGCAGGTAATTCCTCTAAACAATTTTTAAACAAATGAAAAATACAATATAATAGCAGCCTTTAGCCACGAGTGTCGAATAAAAAATGTTGCGGTATCTATGATCTTAAATTAATCTGTTTTTGTATTTTTATTTTAGTCAACTTTTGGTATGCCTACGTGTCAGTAAAACGATTATAACACTTCGTATATGATTGAGTATAAAACCAATATAACGACGA